AAAAAAAAAAAAAAAAGAGACCAGCCTGAGCAAGAGTAAGACCTCATCTCTACATAAAAAAGAAAGGAAAAAGAAAAATTAGCCGGGCATGGTGGCAGATGCCTGTAATCTCAGCTACTCAGGAGGCTGAGGCAAGAGGATTGCTTGAGCCCTGGAGTTTGAGATTGCTGTGAGCTTTGACACCATAACACTCTAGAGTGAACTGTCTCCAAAAAAAAAAAGAAAAAAAGGTTCCATTTGGCTGAGATTAGGGGCCACTTGACCACACCCTCACTGTGATAGCTTTGCAGGCATCTCCCTGCACTCTGAGAACTCCCTTCTCAGACCCCAGATAGAAGCCCCAGGGAAGTGGGGCCACTTACTTCACATCTCTACCAGGTACCTACCTGAGCTGGTGCTCTGCTAAACACACCGGAAGTAAGGGGTACCTAGGGAATTTACATGTGGGTGGGCCCTTTGAGGAGTTTTCAGTTTAATAGAGGAGAAAAGCTTAGACATAAAAAATCCTAACGTCCGACAGAGAGCAATCCTTATTCTAAAAGAAAAGCCCATAGTACCATAATTATCAAGCAATCGCTACCATGGAGCCAACGCTGTGCTGCTAAGTTCTATATTATCCCTGTTTTACAGATGGGAAACTGTCTTCCAGTTAGGGCAGATGTAGGATTAAACTTACAGTTGGTTTAACCCCTGTTTCTTGCTTTTCGTTATGAGGCCTCCTGAGTTAAGACAGGGGAGAGAGAGCGTTTTGTAACCTGTTCCCCAGGCTCAGGTTACCTCTTCTGATAGAGCAGCTGGCCTCGTGCCCCGACAGGATTTGTCGATCTAAGCACTGTGAACATGTGGGGCCAGGTTTTTTTTTGTTGTGGGGCCTGTCATATGCATCCGAAGGGTGTTAAGTAGCATCCTGGTCTTTATCCACCGGATGCCAGTAGTACCTGTAGTCATGACAATTTAAAAATACCTCCAGATAGTGCCCGAAGTGCCTCCCCTCCCCCCAGCCTCCAAGTTTAGAGTCATTGCTCTCAGTCCAGGAGAACAGCTTTGATATTTGATCACTTTTTGTTTATTTAACAGATATTTAGGACATACCTGCGGTGTGCCTTTATCAAGGTGATGCATTTATCAAGGAATAGTTTTAGGGCATTTTTAGCAATATCTCTGGGTTCTATATGTAAAACTCTAGTGCCAAGAAAAACTGCTTTTTTTTTTTTGAGGAAATGAGTGTAGGTATGTTTCTTTGCGTTTCCTTTTTTTGCATTGAGTGCCAGGAATCTCAACCTATTTTTAAAAATACTCTTAGTCATGGGTTTTTTTT